TCCATCATTGTACTCTCTAGACTCTGGGATTCATCATGTATAGAAACTCAGAATGTTCCAAGGGGGAAATGGTGCAAAGATTGGAGCTTATGCCAGTGGAAGCCTCGATTGAACTTTGTTAATATCCAGGACCCACTGCCTCACTCTGTTAAAGCATTGGCCGTTGTTGGACCAAGTAGACTGTTGATACATGAAGGGTCCTTGTCCTGGAAGGATTTCTCCCTGCTGCAAGAAAACAAGAAATCAAGGACATTACCGGGCCATTTCCATTCTGTACACTGATTGGTGCATTGGCTATGATACAGTATAAGTTAGTGGCCTAGGCAGATAAAATGCAATGATAATTATTTTACCCAATCTCATTTCAAATATCTCCCTCAGGTATCATGTAGCTAGGCTACCTCAGAGAGATAAGCTTTTTCAGCAGGAAAAAAGAAAAGCAACATAGTGTGGAGTTTAATCTTTGAGATTTCTTTCAATGCTACCATTAAATTTAGGTCCTTGTAGAATGCCAATTGTGCTAAGTATAGATTGGGTGGATGTAACTAGTATCACGCTGTGGTTCCACAGAGGCCTGATTTGCCCTGTGGCCAAGGAATGGATGGGAACATCTAACTGTGAATGGAGTAAGCTGACCTGGGTTGTTTAGTTCGTCACATCCTACTTATGCGCAAGTTCATGTGCCTGGATTTATACAAAGCTATTAGAATTGTCAAAGTTCCCTGTTACAGACCTTTGCTATTTCACCTCTCACTAAATTTATTCAAATATATTACCACACCTGTATTTTATAAACATGTACAGATCACATAGTCCCCCCAAAAATCTTATTTTATAAATCTGCCAATAATATAAAATTGTTCTGGATCCCTGATACCAAAGTTTCCTAAAGCTAATGTAATTAATATGCAATGAAGGTATTGGTCAATCTGCATAGTGTAGACAAGATACTGTGTGTATAACCAGGCACTGTTTTATGAGGTCAGGCTTGAACAGAAGTCTGTCTTGTAAGCTGTAATGTTCTGGAACATCTTGCCTGGCCACTGCTCCTCATTGTGTGGTCTCTTTTCCTCTTTGATCTCTACTTTATGTTCTTTGAAGAAATAAATTGCAGTGACATTTTTAAAAATTGGTCCAATATATTTTAGCCTATACTTGTTCTTGTGCATTCTACCAAAGTACTCTCGTTCCTTTTAAAATTTAATGAGTATTTTATTTGAGTATCCAATCTTGCTCTCAAAGAAGGCAGTGCCAAACACAGATTCTCAAGGCAATTGCCAGTGTGCGTATTTGTATAGCACACTTGACAAGACCTTTGAACGTCTCCTCCAGCCTGAGCGGGCAGAGCTCCTGCTCCCTGTCTTGGATGCTGGTTTGCTTCTATGTTCACGACAAAGGAGGAAGAGTGTGTCACCCTCAGCTTCAGGGCACCGCCTCATGGATTCTCCTCTTTCCACCTCACTCATCACCCCCATCACTAATTAGAGTCCAGAAAAGAGGCTGTGACGCCATACGGGTTGGCCGAGTGCAGAACCAAGCAGGGTATAAATTAGACATGCCACTGTCAAAGAGGCTTTCAGGGTTGTAGCATTAAAAATAAGAATTGTACTCCCTCTCTGCCTCTGTGGTACTTATTTGGATGGAGTTGGAAATTGAGTAGTATAATCTAATTTTAAGGAAACTTAACACAAATTATGTGAGCATTTCTCTGAGCATAAATTCATAAATCAAATTGCAGGTTGACTTTATTGAAAAATGATGGTGCTGCAGGCCTTGGAGCAGAACCAGGAAGAATGCTTGCATTTTCTATAGCACTCTGTTCAAAATGGCAGTCCTCTGATAACCAGGAAGTGCCTCTGGGCATTTTCCCTGGGCAAATTCCCTGCTCTTCTGCTCTGAGCAGAGAGGTGAACTCTCTTGACCTTCAGCCAGAATGCCACCATCTCTGCTTGACTGATGAGGTCACAGGATAAGAAAAGTTAAGTGACTTCCCTGGTGTCACAGTCAGAGGTGATAAGAGACAGAGAGGATTTTATCTGAGAGAGCTAGAGAGACCAAGTCTGCCATGCTTTGCCCTCATCAGACTGTTCCCCTGCTGTTACTTAGCACATGTCTAAAGAATAGGGAGAGCAGGAAACTGACAGCTATGATATTGGTGCCACAAAACACTCGTCTCCAGTTACATTTACAGCAAGGGTAAGGAAAGATTTCTCAGAAAGCTTCAGGATTCTATCATTTTAATATTTTTCTGTGATTTTTTTTCTGCTGCCATAGCTCAAAGTATCCAAGCCTTCCCTGTGTGCACATTCACATCAGTGGGTCAGGCTTCGGTTTGATCTCTGTCAGTGAAGTTAACACTAAGAGTAGCTAGGACTGTGATTTGTCAGCACACCTTGGGGAGTTTTGGTTTTGGTTTAAGAAAAATACATTAATTATCCTGGGTACAGCATTAGCAGAAGTGTCGCTGGACCCACATCTAGCTGCTCACAAGCTCAGTAAACAAAGATCTGGGAAGGAAAGCAGTCAGTTTTATTCAGAGTCAGGCATCTTGAGAAGATGCTGTATCATCAAAGGTGCTGGAAGGGTTTTTTACAGAGAGGGAAAAAAGAAGAAGACAAGTCGCAAGAAGGCTAGAAGACCCCAAGGTCTTCATTGTTAAGGACACATGTCTCCCTCTTTTGTTTGAGTTTCCATCAACCTCCTAGGGCTTCTTCCTGTAGTTCCTTAAGCAAACATCACTTTTGCGAAGTCCACTTCACAGTAATTGACGCAATTAAAATTAAAAGTCAACGAGGAGATTAGACAGTGAGGACAGTGTCCTGCTCTGATGTGATTGGAAGCTCACCATGTTATGGGTTTTTCAGACTTATAGAAAGGTTATTCAACAGTGAGCATCATAATCATTTAGGTGTGGCTTCTCTTTAGGAAGTGAGCCATAGGAAGGGTAAGTAACCTTGCATAGGGCGAAGGGGAGACTATGCCACCTCTTCAGGGTTTTCATTTCTGCATTTGGGATCTTCCATGGCAGCAATGCACCTACTTTCCTCTTTCTAATTTCTACATAATAACTTTCCTGAACCCATGGTTCACACTTCTGTGATTATCATTCTGTTCTTCAGTCTGGCATTGACTTTCCCTGTATGGTTTAAATACCTTGCTAGAATCTGCAGTGGGGTATATCCTAAACAAATGTCATCTCTACTTCTCTTGGTGACACCGTGCTCTTAACAAGGCTTTGTTTTGACATCTTGACTCTTGCAACCTCTTCATTGCAGTAATTGCCCAGCTCTACTCTATGTGAGTGAGATCTCCTACGAAGAAGCCCTGTCTGTAAAAACTGATTGACCAGTTAGGACTGTAGTGGTATGGACAGGGAGGGACACTGCCGGTCTTCCAGAAGCTGATTGCCTTATCTTAGGTTAGCTTTAGCCCTAAAGTTAATTCCTTTCCCCCTCTATCAAACTAATATCCTATAACTATCTAATGATAGTCCATCTAGTGTGACAGTTGTCCAGGCCACGGCTCCTCTTTGTCTAACATGGCAGTTGTCCAGGCCACGGCTCCTCTCTGTCTAACATGGCAGTTGTCCAGGCCACGGCTCCTCTCTGTCTAACATGGCAGTTGTCCAGGCCACGGCTCCTCTCTGTCTAATGTGACAGTTGTCTATGCCACGGCTCCTATCTGTTTTACATGGCAGTCTGCTCATGGGTCCTTCCAACCTGACCCAGATGGATCAATCTTACTCTCAAACATTTTGGTGTTTTTCCATTGCCTACTATAAAACCAAATGCCTGGTATTGTCCACAGCCCTCAGTCTATAGCTGGTGCTGTCTTCCTTCCCTGTGGGATTTGCTGTCCTGTACTATGGACGAGAACTTAGAGCACAGGCTTTCTGAGAAGGACTTACTTATTTCATCTTTGCCATATTAGGAATAACATGGAGCTTCACTATGTTACTGTGCTATTTCCTCATTTATTTTCTTCATTTATCTTTGATCATGCTAGGCATCCAACGAGGGCCCAAGGCATGTTGGGAAGCATCCTAGTGCTGAGCTACTGTTTTCTTTCTTTTGAAGGTGTCTTTGTCAAAGAACAAACATAAAGGAAGAGCAAACACTGTAGAATTCTCTTAGAAGACACCTTTAAGTCTCTGTAGTATTAGACCCAACCCTCTAACTGATGTGAAAGGTGGAAGAGTAACTAGACCATGGCTGCAGTGTTTCCTTGGATCATACTGTTGTCTTAGCAGGAAACAGCCTGCCCAGCCTTCTGCTCTGCATGCATAGTCTTCTCTATAGTTCAGATTGTCCACTAACATCCTCAACTCCTCCAGTCTTACTGACACGGTGAAACAAAGCATAAGTAGCCAGAACTCTGAGCTCTAATTTGGGGCTCTCTGTAGGCAGACCCTAATTCTTAGCTACAAAGACTAATCTAAAAAGTTGGGTGTAGTGGAATGCACTTGTAGTCCCGGCAATGGAACTGATGTGAGGTGAAGGGCAGGTCCCCTGTAGCTTGCTGACAGGAGGGCTTGCTGGCCAGCTATGTCTAGACTGTTGGTGAAGTTCTGGACCAATAAGAGATGCTGTCTCAAAACAAAAGCGGACAGTGGCTATTGACACTTGAGGTTGTCCTGTGACTTCTAACTGCATGTGAGCACACATATATGCTTATATGCCACATAATAGACACTTATCTACCACGTACATGACAGACCACTCAGATTAGTGATTGGAGATATAGTTGACTCTGAAATGGCATTTCTGAATGATGTATTATTAATTTCACTTTCAATAAAATATTAAAATAGGTGCTTTTAACACACAAAAAATGTTTCTTTTTTAAGCACTTAACTTTACCAGTGATTAATTTAATTTGTATTGCACATCTGTGGTGCCCTCCTCCCATCTTGTTTGAGGCAAGGTCTCTTGTGTTTCTGCTACTGTGCTGGATGCCCAATGAGCTGGGCACTTGCATCCCCGCTTCTCATCTCCCTACAGATTGGGAAGCTGGTATTACAGATGTGACTGCCAGTTCCAGCTTCTGAGATTTCTCATGGGTGTGGGAATCTGAAGTGAGGCTGCCAGGCAGGTAAGCACTTTTACCCTCTGAGTCAGCTCTTTGGTACAAAATACACTGTTGGTGTTCAAACTGTGTTGCTTCTTTGAGCATTTAAACTTTTTATTTTAACCATGTATATATCAAAGAGGGTGATTAATTTAATTTCACAAAGGAAATTAAATTGGAAATATAAAAGTTCATGACAAACAGTTTTTTTCAGAATCATGACTCATTAATAAGAAGCAGAAAGCATATGGGCGGGCGCTTTAGACTGGAAACAGACCTGGGGAGCTTTTGTTGCAAACCTGAGGCACTGAGGCGACCCTCAAACCTATTTCAATTTCAATAAGTATCTATGTCTCCCCTTGATACCAGGGCAGTCTATACACCCTTCCCCTCAGATATGTAGTTTCTGTTAGTTCTTCACTAACGTTTGTGATAAATGAGTTGAATTTGCTTTTAGGAGCTGGGCAGCATCACTCCACAGTAGAGTACATTCCTAGCACATGTGAAGTCCTGGGTTCATTCCCTGCACTGCCGAAAATCTCACAAAGTATAAGCTTTCAATCAGGCGAGCCTGAATAACCATGGAATTGAAAGAACCGAGTGGTGATTTCTCTGTGGAGTTGTCCCTTGCCTGCAGTCCTTTCGGTTGGTTGCTGCTCTGCTTTTGTTGCAGCTGGCTTATCCTCTTGTTCTTTGGTCTCTTTTAAAGCTAATTGATAAGAATGATCTCACTAAAGGTGTTTGGAGGAAGAGATAAAGAGATGGGTTTGTGTGCTCCTGCCTGTGGGCTGTTTCAATCACCTCTGAGAAAGGAGCACATTTGTCTGCCTGCCTGAAGCTGTCACAATGAAGCCAGCAAAAGGGAAATGATGCTGGGAGATAATTTACTAGCCATGGAAGCCTGAGGACCAGAGTTTGGGCTCCCTAGTACCCAGGCGAATGCCTGCTAGGTGTGGTTGCTTCCTCAGGGGAAAGAGACAGGGAGCCCTTGGGTAAACAAGCTGGCTAGGCTGGCTGATGGGTAAGCTCTGTATTCAGTGGAGAGAGCCTGCCTCAACTAATAGCTTGGAGAGAAGCTAAGGGAATTCCTGACATGTGCCTTTCGTTTTCGTGTGTGTGTGTGTGTGTGTGTGTATCACAGATAATAACAAAAACATTGAAATCAGCAGTAAATATTGAGGTAATAGGATATGTTAATTCCCCCTGATTTGGCCATTACACAATGTGAGCATGTTTTGGAACATCACCTTGTGTCCCACACATTTGTAGGAGTATTATGTGACAATGTAAATAACAAAATGTAAAGATATAATTAAGAAAGGAATGGTCATAAAACAAGTGGGCTATGCTTACACAGAGCACCTGGTCTATAAAGTTGCCACTATCTTACTGTGAATTCTTTAAGGGAGACAGAGAAAAGTAAGCGACTGATTTCTCACCAGGCGGTGCAGAAAGCCTACAGTCCCAGTGGTGATTATTTAAAGTTGGACCCAGAGTCAAGACTTTTGAATAATAGTGTGTTTTAACTAATCCACATTTCAACTTCTTCTAATGGATTAATTAGTTTCATTTGCATTATTTTTCTCCCTCAGAAATTAGCACATGCATGAATGCTAGATGCCTGTGAGCTTGCTGCTCTCCTGGAGAAGACTGGTGCTGAGTGGTGACCTTTGAGAAACAGCTCTTTGACCTTCTTGCTGGCCCTGCCCTTTGGCTCTTGGTCCACGATGGAGACGCTCTCCCAGGATTCCCTGCTGGAATGTCAGATCTGTTTTAATTATTACAGCCCGCGACGAAGGCCCAAGTTGTTGGATTGCAAGCACACTTGCTGCTCGGTGTGCCTCCAGCAGATGAGGACCAGCCAGAAAGATGTAAGGTGCCCCTGGTGCCGTGGCATCACCAAGTTACCCCCAGGCTTCTCTGTATCACAGCTGCCCGATGACCCCGAGGTCCTGGCCGTCATCGCCATACCGCACACTTCTGAGCACACCCCAGTCTTCATCAAACTTCCAAGCAATGGGTGCTACATGCTGCCCCTGCCCATCTCTAAGGAGCGCACGCTCCTGCCAGGAGACATGGGCTGCCGTCTGCTGCCAGGGAGCCAGCAGAAGTCCCTCACCGTGGTGACCATTCCTGCAGAACAGCAGCCCCTGCAGGGTGGAGCTCCCCAAGAGGCTGTGGAGGAGGAGCCTGACAGGCGGGGTGTGGTGAAGAGTTCCACATGGTCTGGCGTGTGCACTGTCATCTTGGTGGCCTGTGTCTTGGTCTTCCTCCTGGGCATTGTGCTACACAACATGTCTTGCATCTCCAAGCGCTTCACTGTGATATCCTGTGGTTGAAGTCTGTCACGGGGATGCCTCTTGTGGGTACCAACTTAAGGGGTGAGCAGGTGTTGGTGATGGGATCCCTGTGATGAGATGGGGGTGACACTGACCATTTGGTGCAAGCGCTGGCCTCTGATTGGCCACTTGATTCACCTGCAGACAAGAGCAGAGGGTGAGGTCTCAGCGAGATCCCAGGAGAACTGTTTGGAGATGGTGAAAGCTGTGAAGATGCGTGCATGCTTCCTCATAATTGTGTATTCGATGGGGTGTAATTTATGATTTTCCAAAATTATTTCCCCAATTTAGGCTATTCTACTTAGACATGAAACTGTACCTGTGGGTGTGATGAGCTCTCTCAATACGGTAGATGGTAGGCTAAATCAGATGCTATGTGTGGCAAATAGAATTAAACCTCAAATTCATATTAAAAGAAAAACAGTCTAGTGAAGACAAAGAGCTGGTGTGCAAGTATGTGTGTGTGCCTGCAGCCTGGTCTTCCTAACACTTTGATAAATTTTGTATGGGACCCAAATCAAAATATCCAAAACAGACGTTTTGGTTGTCTGAAGAAAGTGTTTGAACACGTGTCTCCAGTGTGTTGGATATTGTCATGTTCCTTCATTTCTCTTCCTTTGTGACTGAGCTTGCTCTGTGTTTGAGGAGCTGGAAGCCCAATGGGTGAGTGGCAAACTGGGAAAGAAGGGAAAATGCCTAATTCCCCAGGAAACCTTTCTGCCAATTTTTCTCAAGCCATCTCACAAAATAAGAATTTAAAATGTAAATATTGTGAATCTGTGTGTGTATTTTGTGTGTACAAATTGATTTACCTCAGATGTTTGAGTTTTTCCTGAAGAATCCTTGGGGGAAGACTGTGGGCAAGTATAAGCCACGTTTCTAAAACACTGGCCTCCTCGCCAGTGCCTAGATCTTCTCCTTCGAGAGTCTGCCACACATCCCCTGCAGCACCCACTGGCTGCTGTGCTGTGTGAGATCCTGCCAGGAAGACATGGGTGGGGATTGTCAGGAGAACTCGTTATTTCCCCCAGTTTGGAGATTTTTGTGTGAAATCCCCAAGTGTTGCTAATTAATGCCACACCTAGATGGGCATTTTCACAGACCGTCCTTGGTGGTCATTTTTTAAGATGTTCCTTTAAGAGTTAATCTGTCTAGTATTGCAATTTCATCTTGTTGGAATCAGCAAGAAATTGTTCTGTGTTTCAAAACGTCTCTACTGACAGAAGTGGCATGATAAAGAAAAGCTCGTGTTCCCTGTGTAAGCGGACAGGTTTCTCATGAGTGCGCAACTGTCTGGAAATGTGAAATCATGAGATAAGACTAGTTAGACTGAAAGGGTCAGTCTCTGTCCCTTGCTGTGTGTGTATACAGAAAGAGCTGTGGGCTCTACAGTCTTCTTGGAATGCCTTTTCTGGAACTAGGAAGCTATTGGTATTGTCAAAGAAGCTTTGCTGTTCTTTGAAATCCCTGAAATGGTGGGAAGGATGGGAAAGGCAATGGAAAGGTAAGCATTGACCGGAGGCCTCTAAAAAGCAAAATCAGGAACCATCTGTAAGATGGAGGCAGCATATTTGCATGCTAGCCTTCGTCTCCAAACAGTACAAAGATGTATACTAAAGTGATGGCGTTGCTATGGGGAAACCCAAAAGAATACTAGCTAGAATGCAAAGCTAGCAATTGGCATGAACGTTCACCATCAAATTACGAGCTCTGGTTTTTTAAATCCTTCACATTTGTAAGACCTTTAAAAATGTATTTGAGGGCTCAAACTAGAAATTAGGTTAAAATCCCATTTTATTGTGTAAGCTATTGGGCATTATACAACAAATAATCTAGGATTTATTTGGTATTAATAATTTAGGTATCATATTATCTAAATACTGTCCTCTATTATGTAACATAATATACTGTTGGGGTAGTGTCAGTTGCTCAAACTCCCAGGCTGCTGGAATGCATGCCTGACCTAATTTTGATTTCTCTCGGACGGGGAAAACACACATAGACAGAGATGTTGCATGAAGGATGTTACGTTTCCAAGGAACTTCAACCCTTGCAATTTTAAGACAAAGCATATTTAAATTAATGTGTGAGAGATATCTGCATACCTTTCTACAGTAGAAAATGGCTGATCCCTAGTGCAGTGTGTGATAGGGTTCTAGCTGTTTAGGGCGCTATTTATAGAATAATGTGTGTGCATATGGTGTTCTGTGTTTTCACAGCAAAGCGGTATAGTAAAAAGTCCATTTTACTTAAAAACAGTGCACACTAGACACTGGAGCTTCAATGAAACAAAATCAGTTGCTCCTTGGTAGATTTTTGACCTCCAGCCTGGCAGTAACAGCCAAGTGAGGGCTTGTGGATGTGTGCTTCTAAGAAACATTGAAAACTGTTGAAATGAATTCTGCCTAGAGTTTGCATATGTGCTTGTTAGGAGGTGTGTGTGTGTGTGTGTCAGAGGAGAGAGAGAGAGAGAGAGAGAGAGAGAGAGAGAGAGAGAGAGAGAAGCCTGACAGTTTCTATATACTTGAGGTCTCAGCTTCTTCTGGATTTTCCCCACATCATTAAAAACCTATCTACCCCATGTGACACAAGCATCCAGGACTTAGAGTCACATGTCAATGGCAAGAACAGAAGATACAGCTGAAAGGAGCCTCCAGTGACTTCATCTTGTCGATGAGCTCATGGCGGAGTGGGGTGGGAGTGGAGATGAGTGTGCAGGTTGTAATTTTGCAGCTAGAGGATGAGACCTGTGCACTGCTGTGCCCTAGGCACGTCAGCTTCTCTGCCAGGCTATGATTCTTCACAGGGTCTATGAATACCCTTTGCTTTGTCAGGTAGTGCTTTAAGGATTGTTTAGAGATTAATTTCTCTTTAGGTAACTTCCTCTCTGAAAAGGAGGGTTGATTTAGGGATGAATCTGAATATTGGAAGAAAACTTCTGAACTGTGTAATTTGAATATTTAGAAATGTCAAACATTGGCCAGGACCCTATCCCCATATGCCAAGGACAATGAATGTTGTGTAAATAGTAACTTATAAGAAGCATGAATTTCCTCTTTATTAATGATCTTGACATAAGCAAGAGAATGCTTACTACGTTAAGTAGAGCCAAGTATGCCAGCTCATATGTTGTCTTTCGAAAATCTTTGTATAATGACATGGGACATAAATTGTAATGACAAGGGCAAATTGTCTTTGAGTTTCAATTTAAGGTATCTTCTTTAGACATATAATTAGAGTTCACCCCTCGCATGACTCATAGAGTGGGCCTCTTGGAGTGGCAGCTGGGTGTTGCTACAGCTCCTGGACTTTTCTAGGTCAGTGCTGTTGGACAGAGGAAATTGCTCTGTAATCTGTGCACTAGTCCCATGGCTGTTGGGCAACCGAGTGGCAATGACTGAAGAAGTGGCGTTTATATGGTATTTAATTTTAAGTAACTTAAAATTAAACATTCCTGTATGGTTATGGCTACCACATTGACCATGATGACATCCAAAGGCTTACAAAGTAGCAGCAAAACCAAGAGAGAGTGTGCAGTTTCCGAAGGAAATTCCTTTGCAAGTTTAGAGAAGTTTATGAGCTCTGGGGGTTGAGCGAGATAATATAATCTCACCCATTGTCATTTGGGGTTATTATTTAGATACTTAGGACCAAGGAATGAGCAGCGAAGCTTAAATCGGGCTTTATGAAGCCCCTTTTCTGGGACCATTAGCTGCATGTGACTCTGCTGCCCAGAGTTCCTAACTAGATCGTAGCTGTAACATTTTTGACTTGCAAGTTGTGCATGACCTGTGCTCTGAAACTGTGTTTAGGGTCTCGTGGACAAAAGGAGTCAATGTTACAGAAAATCAAATAAATAAGAATCTGACCAAATCCCTGCTCCCTTCTGATCTCTTTCCCGACTTCATCACCGTATCAGTGAGGTGGGAAATCTGAGAGCAAGCATGCTTTGTAGCGTTCAGGGTGTTTGTGATTGTCCTTGAAGTCAGCCAGTTTGTCATTGTATTTGGTGTGGCCATATGTGGGTGTAATTTTCTGGATGCCAGGCTAAAATGGAGGCACTATTTTTAGGCTGAGAAGTGACATTGTCTCAGTGTCTCTCTTTTTAAATTTAGTTGTCATTAGAAGGTTTGAAACTTTGCACAAAGGCACTTTTACATTTTTCATAGTTAAAAAGGAAAACAAACATGGCCCAGTGGAATTTAAAAACTGGAAGGTTACTACAGCTGCTCTGTAGAATTGCTTTTAAGTGAGTAAGGGGAGCAGAAAATTGAGCTTGAGATACATGCTTCTGTGTAAAGATCAGACTGTGGCTGATAGGCTAGACTTTATTCATGCTTAGATTTGACTTAAAGTGTTCCCGTGCCTTCATCAGAAAATTTGTGTTATGTCAAAATTGCCTAGCCTGCCTCTTCATTGCTCTCCCAATGTGTGAAACCAAGTGTGTTTGCTTCAGTGCAGCAGGGTTGGGCTGGGTTTCTAGTGCTGCAGCATTTGGTAGGGAAGACAACTCCTTGGGGCTCATCTTTTTGTATCTAATGTTGGCCGAATGGTATTTTCTTAAGTCTGTTGGAAATTAGGAGGGCAGAGGGTATCTGTATGCTATGGGTTATACCCACACAACTACAGTGCTCTTTCTGAAAAGAATGATGCTGTGGACCAGGCAGGATTTTATAACTACACCAGGCTTCCAGCCCACACCCTGAACCTTCATGAAGAAGTTGCTTCTTGACATCTCCACCACACTCAGTGAAACATTCAAGGCGATCTTCACCCAGACAGAAGCTACAGGCAACAATGAGACACAAGGGATACTTTACTCAAGGTGTTTATTTGAAGGAGATAGTTGCTGGATCTTTTTCAACCTGAAACTCTTGAAAAATAAGTGGAAATTCAAGCCATTTTTTTTCTGACACAATTGACTTACTATATACCCTACTATACACACACACACACACACACACACACACACAATTTAGCTATAATTGGAGGTAAAAATAACATAGAGAAAATTATCAATACTATTTTTTCATTCATGGATCTCAAAATTCTGAATTTATATGTTAATCTTTAAACAGCTGCTATGATCTCCATATACTGTGTCAAACCAATTGTCTTGGGGAGTGTCTTAAGACTGTTCCATATGTACAGAGGTGGGTAATTCCACAACATCACTGGAAAGCCAATTATGACTGAGGCGCTGAGCAGATGAGGCATTTAATCTTTTAATTCTGACTTGTAAAAAGCTTGTCTTTTTTCTTTTTTAATCCCTGTTATGTGTCAAGATTGTAAACCACTGTCCCCGAACTCCTCCAGTGTGACTCAGTTTCTCTGCATGCTTCCTTGCTTGCTCTGCACGGTCTTTTGATTTTTTCCGTACTCACTGCCTGGGGTGTCCCCATGTGTGGCTCTCACCCTGTAGTGGTGCTTGAAAATGCTGATTTAATTATCTGGATTTTAATGTAAGAAAGTTTTGGGTTTTTTAATATTCATGTTATGTTTTCAGGGACAATCAGTTATTAGGACATCACTGAGGCCTCCTGAGAGCCCCACCAGCAGGGCTATCCCTTTGTTCTTTACAATCACAGCCTGCATCTTTCCAGGATCACTAGGGAGGGTTGCAGCCCACAGGACAGTCTCTTATCATCTTCCTGGCCAGCTATTCACTGTGTTATTCTAACAGGAGCTTTCTAATGGGACTGTTCCGTCTTTAATTTAAACATTTGCTTTTTGATAATCCAGTAGAAAATGGTTAGATATGTCGGTGGCAAAGAAATGTGGAGTAGAAAGAGAAAAGAAACAGATGTGACAAATAAGTCCTTCAGGGGACAAATTGGTATCTATGAACTGTGACAGAAGGTGGAGACTGTTGACATACGAGTGTCTAGGTGGGCTCAAACACAGCCTGCTGCCAAGGAGCCCTGCCCGAGGATAGGCAGATGTGCCTGGAAAAGGAGATACTGTTTTTAATAGAGAGAGAAATTTGTAATGAGATTATGGCTTCAGAAGAAGATTTGGCACTGTATGTCCACCATAGTAGAAGCCAGCTGAAGACGGTTACCTGGGTTGACGTCATCAAACCCCACCGTTACATCGTGGAGCACCAAATTCAGCTCAGGATGCTGAGGTGAAGACAAAGGGAAAGGGCCTGACTAAGGGGTTCCCAAGGAGTGCTCTTCCTTCCTGTCATCCTTTCCCATGCTCTTGAGTTATCAGGGCTGTAGAAAATTCCAGAGCCTGCTGTGAGCTGGGCAGAGAGCTGGTCATTCCAGTGAGCTCTGACCCTCTTTGCTGTGGAAACTCCTAGTTCCACGAGGCTGCTGTGACTTGAGTACTACTGTGGAAACAGAAGTTGAAGAATGTGATGCTTCTATTCCGGCTGCTGCCATTCATTATATCCATGTGTTTCTCCATGGTTTGTGTGTCCTCGCTCGATGGTTAGAGCTGTGGAAATTGCTTTCAGCTTGACAGGTTGGCCTCAAACTCCCAACAGAAGATAAATGTATAACCACCATCTTGTTTCCATTCTTTAAGCTCCACACATGGGCTTCCTAGTCTTGGATAACTTCAGTCAAATGGTGAGGTCATTGTTGGTCTGCAGCTGTAAGTTTCAGTTCCTGACAGGCTTCCTTTATAATCATGGAGACTATTTATTCGGGGAGCTTTTCTTTTAAAGGGCCAAATTGCCCTACAGATAAATGAGCTTCACTGCAGTGTAGAAATTCTTGTCCAAATGTTGCCAAATACTGACTTCATAAGGGGAATATCAAGCTGCTGTTTATTAATCTGAATGTCTTAAAAGCATTCCTGCTTGCTCTCTCTGTTATAGATGGTGTCTCAGCCAGTCTCAAGTTTTTCCAATGAACTGATTTTAATATATGGTATTTTTGTATGCCAAACTGGTGTCTTGTCCTTTGTATATGTGGTAATGTTCATTTTACGACTATTGTTAAAACACATTTGCTATGATTAAAATTCAACATGATTTCAAGTAGACTCGTGCATTGGACTTTTTCCCTCCTCCTTATCCCACAAAAGGAAAAAAAAATGACTGTGACTTTTATCATCCTGGAAAATTTTAATAGATGGGTATTGAAGCAAGACAGCCCCAAAGTGGAGGGTTGTATGGAGAGGTGACTTTCACGTGACTTCGGAGAAGCTGAAGAACAGGTTTGTAACCAGGAGCTGGAGGCAGCTTCTACGGCTTGAGTGACTTCACCCTGTCCTCACTACTGAGGAAGGACAGAACATGCTGAGGCTCGGGGGCCAGCAGCCACCTTGCCGAGGTCCCTGCTTTGCCTGCTGGCTCTGGTGTGGAACCGTGACTTCAGAGGAGCGCTCTTGATGCCGGCAGACTTCGCACAGCACTCCGGGGTGGAAAGCATCCTGGCTTCCCGTCTCTGATCGCGTTAGGGAAAGTCAACTTATTTTAGCACAGGGCCTCTTCCTAATTAGGGAGGTATCTGATCTGCACGGGTGCCAGTATGAGCATGCTTCGTGTCTGTCAGTTTTTAAATTCCTCCCCATCGTTTAATAACTGAGATGTGATGATAACTTGATGCCTCTGTTTTGTTCCCAGCACAAAGCTCTGCGTTAGGAAGTCTGGGTTTTTGACAGTGTGAACTTTACTTTTCTTCTTTGATAAACCCCCTAGTGTGACTTTCCTGGTCTCCAGTATGGGTGTTGGACAGGCATCCCCTTTCTAGTACCACCTGTTTAGACTTGAACTTTGCCGCCAGCCAGAGAACTCAGCAATAAGAGGGCAGAAGGTCACGCAAATGAATTCCTTGACTTGGCTCCCCATGTGCATGATGGGTAAAGATCCTATCTTTGTGGAGTGATGGAGACAGGGTGGGGCAGAGGGGTTCCTTGGAAGCCCTCTAGGTGCCTCTTTCCTGATGACTTTGTTGGCTGGTTTAGATTTTCTGTTTTGTCTGGCAGAGAGTCTATTTCTATTAATTCCAGGTAGAGAGGGCAACAACAGACCAAAGAAACAATTCCACACAAGCCTGGCTTAGTGAGTGGGTTTACTTGTGGAAGTATGGGAACCTATACCACAGAAATGGAGGCTTCCTCTACTATTTTATCCTCAGAGAAGGGAGAAGCCTCCCGAACCTTCCCCGCCATGTTAATGGGCTCAGTCTTGTGAGAGTTTTATACCAACAATCACAACCACTGTGACTTCAAAAGTGCAAATGACATATGGCGGGAAGGAGGAGGAGTCTGTCAGCTCCAGGATCCCTGCCATCCTAGTCTGTCCCTGTAAAGGAAGAACGTGTGAGCACTCAAGGCCTGGAGGAGTGAATATCAGCAGGCCCACAGTCACACATGTTACCCTTACACACACCCTCGGAGTTATCCATCACCTCTCTCCCTGCCCTCTCTCACACACACAAACACACACAGAGACTCACACACATACACTCGACTTACTCTCTCTCTATCTCACACACACACACAAAGAAAGAGAGAGAGAGAGAGAGAGAGAGAGAGAGAGAGAGAGAGAGAGGGAGGAGAGGAGACATCAGATCCTAGAGCAGTTGTATCAGTTTTGCATGCTCCTTTTGTGTTTTGTGTTTGGTGTTGGTCTGGGGAGGAAAATGCCCTCTTCCGTGTGTACAGTGCAGTGCTAAGCATGCATGGTCAGGAGAGGAAAACAACCAGCTCTGGGGTAAGGATGAGCCTCTGCTTTTCTTTTTATAGGTTTGAAGACTTTTGTGCAATTCTACATGACCCAGAAAACAGTACAGCTATAATCGGATGTAGCTTCTCTTCCCTTCCTGACTCCCCACTTCACACTATTTTGTGATTTTTTTGTTTCTGTCATTTCTAGTTGAAAGAATAAGTGATTACCTGGATGTGTGACTTGTGCATTTGAGTGCATGTTTGTGGTATATTATATATGCAGTATGTGTTTGTGTGATAAATGTGCATGTATGTGTGTTTGCATATCCACATTCAGGAGCATTTCATAGACTCTTAGCACTCATTGTTTAAGGTTAACACGACTGTAAAGCTATCAGAGTCAAGGCAAACACTTTTATTTGTCTCTGAAGATTGCTCATCCAGATCATCAGCACAATTCGAGCAATCATTTTCCTCCAGTGTTTCCTCGGAACACCAGGGTCCAGGGGTGGGGCCCACTTTGTTCAGGGTAGAAATGATCCCTCTACACTGAAGAAAAAGTGTGAACTCCTCACTCACAGCAAGGGTCACGGCTGAGGCTCCTGTAAAAGAGGAATTGATGGGAAGAACACAACAGATGTGTTCTAATACAACTCTTACCCAGCACAGGAAGCTTCATTAATGGTCGCTGTGGGTTGAACATGTGGCTCATTCATAGAGTATGCAGTCAACATGTGTAGTCTCTGAACCTGTGCGTCAGCACACACACACACACATACACACGTACGCACGCACGCACACCCGCATGCACACACACACACACGCGCAGGTACACACACGCACGCATGCATACCCGCACCCGCATGCACACACACGCATGCAGGCACACACACATGCATGCACACACATGCATGCCCGCATGCACACACACACATGCCTGCACGCAAACACACATGCACACACGCACACCCACACGCACGCATGCACGCACACACGCATGCACAAACACACACGGAAATTGTATTGCATAAAAAAATCTTATGGAAAAGTGACTGAGGACAGATGAATTCGAGGAGCTGAAGGCAGTGAACTGCAGGGACTGCCCTTGGTCTTGGAGTCCCTGCACATGGATGTTTTTCCTTCAGGCACAGCAAGGACACCTGTCACATGGAGGTCTTTGGGGCTCAATGAAGAGAAGTCAGATTTATGTTCGCAGGTTTTATCGCCTCCTTCAGGAATGAAAAGGTCAGGGGATCCTGCCTTGCTTTCTTCTGCTATGTGGAAGAAGTTGGATGCCACCATTGAAGAATGCAGAAATGCATTCTTACTGACAGACACCGAATCTGCCAGCACCTCCATTCTGAACTTCCCAATTTCCATGGCTGAGAGAAATAAATTGTGTTTATAAGCCACGAGGTGTATGGTGGTTTACTATAGCAAGCCAAACAGACTAAGCCATCCATAAAGAACATTTTTACAGAAACAGAGGTGGTTGCTGCTTTTTCCTAAGTGATGTAATGAGCTCGTAGTGGACTTTTTAACTCATTGTGCTCACACAAGCAGTTATATTTTTCTAAACCTTATGCAGAAGAAAAAAATGTGTACAGTCTTTTGTTCCAGTGCTTGTGCAATTCTTTCTGAAATAAAGTAGAGTTCCACACAGAGACACACACTACAGAGGACACGGATGGTCCATCAGGAGTGACACACACTACAGAAGACACGGATGGTCCATCAGGAGTGACACACACTACAGTGGACACGGATGGTCCATCAGCAGTGACACACACTACAGAAGACACGGATGGTCCATCAGGAGTGACACACACTACAGAGGACACGGATGGTCCATCAGCAGTGACACACACTACAGAGGACACGGATGGTCAGGTCAGCTGTGACACACACTACAGAGGACACGGATGGTCCATCAGGAGTGACACACACTACAGAGGACACGGATGGTCCATCAGGAGTGACACACACTACAGAGGACACGGATGGTCCATCAGCAGTGACACACACTACAGAGGAGCGGATGGTCCATCAGCAGTGACACACACTACAGAGGACACGGATGGTCCATCAGCAGTGACACACACTACAGAGGACACGGATGGTCCATCAGCAGTGACACACACTACAGAGGACACAGTCAGCAGACGAGCTCTTCCCAAGCTGTGATTCAGGATAATATGTTTTACAGAAAAAAGATTTGTAGCTGAGCAAACTGGGAAAACACTGGGTTAAACAGGTTTTTTTAATTTTTAAATTTTTAATTATAGACCTTTTCACAGTCTTTGGTTTGTGCATTAGTTGAGGTTCTTTTGGGGAACGATGGAATGCATGTGTGTGCAGAAAGGGAGGGTGATAGAGCTGGAGAGAGATTTGACGGATTCACTCGGTGAAATGTGGAGGCTGGCCAGTTCAAATGCTCCAGGGAGGTCAGCAGACTCAAGCCCCATGAGGACACAGTGCTGCAGCTGCATCCAAAGACCATCTGCTGGCAGAACACCTCTTCCTCCAGGGAGGTCGGGGTTTTGTTTGTTTGAAGTGAATTAGATGAGGCCTGTCCACAGCGCAGTGAGTATCTCCTTCACTCAGGTATAAACGTCAATCAATCACAGCAAATAACCTTCAGAGTGGCCTTCCGCACTGATGTTTGACCAAATCTTCTGATATCATGTCCTAGACAAGTTGACATACAGGCATACACAGAGACAGAATACTGTATACATAATAAATAAATATTTAAAAAAAGAAAGGACCATCATAAGATGCTGGGTTGTAGTTCAGTGATAGAATGTTAACCTTGGCTTTGATGGCCAGCATCATGAGATGATTACTAATGATGATATTGATCAGGTCAACCTCCCCAGTATGCCGAAGCACCCAGGGATTCTTTTTTTAAAAGAAAGGATGCAGGGTTTTATCTTAACTAAAGGCTCTGTCGTTGCAGAGCATGTGCTGATGACTAAAGGGTCATAGCCAAATGGACACAGAGCTCATTTATTCTTAAGTATGTGTGCATGTGTTCATACAGAGGTGAACGCATAACAAGGTCCTCAAGCACGTGAGCCTTGCATATGGGGGGAAATCAGAGGACAACCTTGGGTGTTTGTCATTAGGTGTCTTCTATTTTACATTATTCATCTGGCACTTTGTCATGTATGACGGATGTTTTGCTCTCCTCACCTTCAGAGTTCCTCCATCTTGGATCACAGGTTTGTACCACCATGCTAAGCTTTTTTGAGTGGGTTCTGGGGGGATCCAGATGCAGAGCCTCACACTTGTGAGGTAAACCTCTAATTTAAACCATCTCCTGAGTCCCACATTGACTTTAATTTTGACTTACCCCATG